TCTCCATCTCTCACACTACACACACACACAATCCTACCCCCTCGCTTCACTAAAAGGATACTTCTCACTTTCTGGGCTGGCTAAATCTTGGTTTATCCTGAGCAGAAACTGCTAGTAATGCTAAGTGTCTAGTATATGGAGTTTTACGGATTTCAATAAAATACCATGTAGAAATAAAAAGAAAAAAAAATCCCGAAACAAAACAACCTAGTATAGTCTCAGCGTAGCAGCCGTGTTAGTCTCTATCTGCAAAAAGAACAGGAGTACTTGTGGCACCTTAGAAACTAACAAATTTATTTGAGCATAAGCTTTCGTGGGCTACAGCCCCTTCATCGGATGCATAGAATGGAACGTATAGTGAAGATATATATATATATATATATATACACATACAGAGGCTAGCCTCTTAGAGTTGGTTGGGCAACTCCCACCTTTTCATGTTCTCCTCACGAAAGCTTATGCTCAAATAAATTTGTTAGTCTCTAAGGTACCACAAGTACTCCTGTTCTTTTTGCAGATACAGACTAACACGGCTGCTACGCTGAGACTTTACTAGGTTGTTTTGTTTCGGGATTTTTTTTTCTTTTATTTCTACATGGTATTTTATTGAAATCCATAAAACTCCATATACTAGACACTTAGCATTACTAGCAGTTTCTGATCAGGGTAAACCAAGATTTAGCCAGCCCAGAAAGTGAGAAGTATCCTTTTAGTGAAGCGAGGGGGTAGGATTGTGTGTGTGTGTAGTGTGAGAGATGGAGAGGAAAGAAAGAGAATAAGGGAGGGGAATGTGGAGAACATAGATGGGAAATAAAGAGCAGGGAAATAGGGGCAGGGAGAAGTTGAGGGCAAAGAGAGTGATTGGAGATATGGAAGGGAGAATGGGGAACAGGGTAACTGTGGAGAGGCAAGGAGAGAGAATGTGAAGGGAAATGGGATGTTGCAGGAACAGGGAGGGAAGATAGATAAACAATGCTAGTTCTTGCGACCAAGGAGCTAGGAGAGGGTAAATTCACCTACAAGAGTCATCTAGAGAAGGGCTACTGCCTCTGCTTCATGATGCAATGCCTCTCATTATGCAACCCTTTTTTGCATCCATGTCACATTGTAAACTACAAAAATTACTGCCTTCCACTTTAAGAGAGGACTACAGTCAGACCTTGGTTATCCGAAGCTTTTACTATTTGAAGTGACCGCCTATCCCCAAACTTGTAATAATTTAATTGAAGTCTCTCACTTATCTAGATTAATTCAGTATCCCCTTTCCATTCAGCTACCACAAAAGGTTTTACTTTTATATAAATAACACTCTAAACTCTACTCCCGGCGAAACCTAATTTTCCGTGGTTTTCGTATTCTTCCCTTGAATGCTAATACATGAAACCCGTGATGTGTAGTATTAATTCACAAGATCGCTTTTTGATTCTCTTCAGCACTTGATATGGCTTCTTCTTCAACTGTGTTGATGCGCCTAATGGCCTCTGCGTATTCTGTTGCGCACAGAGCTGGAACAATAGTCAGAAATGTGATGGCTGGTGGAGACCTGGGCATAGTGGAGAAGGTACTTATTTTGCTTCATACTGATTATGTCTGTTAAGAACACTGAGTTAAAAACAGCCCAAGGAGTTCTTTCTGAAGATCAGACAGCTCCTGCACAACTTGGGGGGAGCGGGTACTGCGACAGACTGACAATATCCTGGCATACTTTATTGAATTAGGTTTAATACCTTTGGCGACCATTGTATTCAAAATGCAGTTGTGTATGAGTTATTGTGGAGTTGTATGTAACTCCTCTAGGAGGAGGGGGTTGCTAATGTCCATCCTTTGTTGTTCATCCTCTGAAGCCACCCCTTGGAGAGGTTGGCATATATGAATTCAAACTGGATTCTCCAGGGACCAACAGACAAAGAAATAACTAGGCTATTTATCCAAAAATCCTATCTGGCCCAGGTTTTTCTTTCTGATCCAGCAAATGGACAGGACCCCTGGGTCATGGGGGCCCCAATCCTTAGGGTAGGATTGGAAGGATGGGGCCTACAGGAGCCCAATAGGGTTGCCAACTTTCTAGTTGCACAAAACTGAACACCCTAGCCCTGCCGCTGCCTTGAGGCCCTGCCCCTGCTCACTACATTCCCCCGCCCTTGGTAGGTTGTTCTCCCACACCCTCACTCACTTTCACTGGGCTGGGGCAGGGGGTTGGGGTATGGGCTCTCACTGGGGATATGGGCTCTGGGGTGGGGCCAGAAATGAGGGATTCGGAATGTGGGAGGGGGCTGCGGGTTGAGGCAGGGGGTTGGGGTGCAGGAGGGGTGAGGGCTTTGGGATGAGGGTGCTGGCTCTGGGATGGGGCTGGGGAATTTGGGGTTCGGGAGGGTGCTACCAATTTGGGGGGGTGGGGCTGAGGCTTACCTCAGGCAGCTCCCGGTCAGCAGCGCAGCATGGGAGCTAAGGCAGGCTGCCTGTCCTGACCCACGTGACCCAGAAGCAGCCAGTAGGTCCGGGTCTTAGGCTCCACGCACCGCTCTTGCAGGTAACGCCCTCACCAGATCCCATTGTCCGGAATCTTGGCCCCATCTCTAATCTTGTTGCAGCATTTTATATAAGATGCAATAATCAACTCTCCCCACAGATTCCTGGTCTCCTAGAGTGTTACCCAACTGACAGCAGTTGCCGGGCTGGTGTATCTTATTTCAGTGATTTCTCTAAATGTTCTTACAGCTTTTTCCTTTTCTGTTTCTCCTTTCCCCTAGCAGGCAACAGAGCATCCTCATTATAAAATATTTACACCTTTTTTTATTGGAGTGATTTTGATTTAATGGTTAGTTTTTGAATGCTTTGTTTATGCTCCCCCCCGCCCCATTTGAAAGAGAAAATATATCCTATTCAAGTCTAATTGCAAGTTCTTTCAATGTGCTGGTAATGTGCTTAGTTTTCCTAACCACAATAAGTTATAGATCCAGAGCTTGGTAATGCTATCACACAATCATCTTACTCCTGGTATCATGTAATAAATATGTGTGTTCTAATTCAATTACTATGACTCTTAGCATATTGTGCATTTTAAGCCCAAGAAATAGAATATGCACCAGAAGTAGGCCCTTGTTAACCGACTTTTTTCTTTTTGATCTTTAAATGTCATTGCCTCCCTTCTTGCTACTCTTCTATCTTACCTTTTTCTTTTTTAAACATAAAAGTCCCCAAAACTTTCTACCTCATGCCCCCCCCATTATCCTTGTCTGTGCCCCCTCCCCCACCACTCTGGGAGAGGGGGGACGCAGACAGGGGCAAGGGGGACGAGGCTGGGGCCACAGCTGGGGCCAGGAGTGGGGCTGGGTGCCTCCCTCT